AGAGCCCAAGAATGTTAGAAGGCATTATAATCCAAAGGAGAAGCCTATTTTGCTTGGCTCGTATGAAGTTCTATTTATTTTCTTAGAATTAAGGCCCAAAGAATCTTGAATAAAGTGCTATTCCTACAAAGCACTGACAAAGCAGCTTCCTTGTTTTACAGAGCTGCTACTCTTCATGACAATTCTAGCTCTAAGAAGTGTAGACATGAGGAAAATACGGATTTATACAAAAGGAAATTTATGATGTAATTATAGAGAGAGATGGAGAGAGAGACGGAGAAAGAGAGTCCCAAACGGGTTCTGCACCATCAGCACAGAGCTGGATGTGGGGCTTCATCCCACAAACCGTGAGCTCATGACCTGAGCTGAAATGAAGACTTGGATGCCCAACCAGCAGAGACACCCAGACCCCCCTAAATTCTTTTCCTTTTTTTCTTTAAACATTTTTTTTTTGGTTAATGTGTATTTATTTTTGAGAGAGGGACAGAGCCCGAGCAGGAGAGGGCAGAGAGAGGGAGACACAGAATCCGAAGCAGGCTGCAGGCTCTGAGCTGTCAGCATAGAGCCTGACATGGGGCTCCAACTCACAAACCATGATATCATGAGTTGAAGTTGGATGCTTAACTGACTGGTCCACTCAGGCGACCCCCTAAATTCTTTTCTCGAATTAGTTTTTCTAGCCATATATTTCTAGGACTTTGTTGTTGTATTTTTTCAAATTTACTACCATGAGTGAATAATTACATAATCATTCTATATTTTAATCTCTTTTGCATCTAAAGTAATGCCCCCTTGTTGTGATTTTTTTGTCCTTTCTGGGTTTTTCTCATGATCTAGCCTTGCTAAAGTTTTGTTGTGGTGGTGGTGGTGGTTTTTCATTTTTATTGTTCATTCAAAGACTAATACCTGGGTTTTTAATTTATTTATTGTATATTTACTTTTTATTTCATTAATTTCTGCTCTTGCCTTTATTACTTCTACTTTTTGTGTGTCTGTTTTGCTGATCTCTTCCTAACTTCTTATGCTGAGTGCTTACCTCATTAATTTTCCATCTTTTTTCTTTTCTCTTATAATGAATTAGGGCTATAAATACTTCTCTTAGTGCTGTAATGCCAACATTCTGCATGTTAATTTTATGTTTTTTTTTATTATGTTCCCTTTTTACTCATGAGTTACTTGGATTTTTTTGTATATTTTAAAATTTCCAAATTTTTATGGTTTCTACTTATTTTGGTATTGGTTTCTAATCTAATTATATTATGATAAAAATAATAAATGATACTGGGTTTTTTTTTTTTTGAAATTTGTTGAGATTTACTTTATAGCTTAGTATGTGGTTAGTCTCCTAGACATTTCTTGTATGCTTGAAAAAAATGTGTATTCTCTAATTGGCAAGTGTAGATACATATATGTGTGTGTTCTCTAATAGGCAAATGTGTATACACACACAGAGACACACACGCACACACACACACACATGCACACACAAGTTCAAATTTGCTGATATATTGTCTAGATCTTCTGTGTTCCAACTGATTTGATTTGTTTTGTTTTCCTTTTTGGCTGTTTGAGCTATTATTTGCTAAGAGACTATATTACAATATCATAGCATAATAGTAGATTTTTCAATTTCTTGTTATAATTATTTCAGTTTTTCTCTCCATACTTTGAAGTTGTGTTTTTAAACGCACATTTCCAAACTTGTGAATTTAGCCTTTTGTCATTCTGCAGAAATTTTACTTTTATATCTGTTGATGCTTTTTTTCATTAAGAGAGGAAATATTTGCAAAATACCTGTCCGATAAAAGATTGTTATCCAAAATATACAATGAACTATTAAAACTCAACAATAATAAACCAAACAACCCAATTAAAATATGACCAAAAGACCTTAAAAAACACCACACCAAAGAAGATAAACAAATGGCAATGAGCATATGAAAAGATGCTCAATATCATATGTCATTAGGGAAATGCAAATTAAAACAATGAGATACCAGAACACTGACCACACTAAATGCTGGTGCGGATGTCTGCAACAGAAACTCTGTGTCGTTGCTGGTGGGAATGCAAAATGGTACAGCCACTTTGGAAGACAGTTTGGCAGTTACTTACAAACTAAGCATACTCTTACCATATGATTCAACAATTGTGTTTCTTGATATTTACCCAAATGGGTTGAAAACTTATGTTCACATAACATCCTGCACACAGATATTTATGGCAGTTTTATTCATAGTTGCCGAAACTTGGAAGCAACAAAGATATCCTTCGATAGGTAAATAGATAGGTACACTATGGTCCATCAGACAGTGAAATAGTATTCAGTGCTAAAAAGAAATGAGCTATCAAGCCATGAAAACACATGAAGGAAACTTAAATGCATATTACTAACTGAAAGAAGCCAATCTGAAAGGCCTGCATACTGTTATGATACCAAGTATATGACATTTGGCAAAGGCAAAACTATGGAGACAGTAAAAAGATCAGTGGTTGCCAAGGCTGAGTCGTGGGGGTGGGTAGGGATGAATAGGTGAAGCACAGAAGATTTTTAGTATTCTATATGATACTATAATGGTAGATACATGTCATTATACATTTGTGCAAACCCATAAAGTGCACACCAAGAGTGAACCTTACTGTAAACTATGAATTTTGATTTTGGTGATAATGAACCACTGTAGGTTTGTTGATTTTTAAAAATGTACCACTCTCGTACAGGATATTGATAGTGGGAAGGCTGTGTATGTGTAGGGGTAAAGGATATATAGAAACTCTGTATTTTTTTTTGCTCAATTTTACTGTGAACCTAAAACTGCCCTAAAAAATAAAGTCTGAAACATTAACTGTCAGTTTAGCTGTCCTTTAATGATAATGAGTCTTCTCTTTTCTGGCTTTTGTCTTTGGTATTCTGTAATTTCACCATGTTATGTTATGTTCATCATGTATCCATTCCTTCCTTGTATGGAATTCATTGGATTTCTTATATCAGAGAATTTATTCTTTCATTCTTTCCAGAAATTTGTAAGCCACTATCTGTCTAAATAATTTTCTTTTTCCTTTTTCCTTTCTTCTTTAACTCCAAGTGGAAGCTTTGAGACTCTTACTCTTCCCCAAAATAACAATCACTTGTTAGAGTCACTTCATCTTTATCAAAAGCCATAGTATAAATATATTCTGTAGAGGAGTTTCTGGACTTGCCCTTATAATCCACCTGGACCATGACCTTCCTGAATTATCCTCTGTTGTGAAAAGACAATTGCTTAGAGTTTTAAAAAATACAATAACGCAATATAATATTTTACATTGATGGATTCATTGGTGGTACTCGGGGCAACTTGATATTTAGCAATATGGCCAAGTTCTCAATTATCTGTAATATCACTGAAACTTGAGATGATCCAGTTTTGTTGGTCATGGACAATGCTAGAATGTTCCATGATGGAAAAGGGGTGAGTAGTGTCACCAGTCAACGCTATCTACAGATAGTTACTGGAAATTTTGGCCATCACAAATTGATAACTAGTTTCTAGAACTGCCAGTGTATAGCATGAGTATAAAACTAATATTTAAAAGTGATTTACAATTCAGATTTATCATTTGATTTTAAAAATCCTCCTTTTCACTCATTAATAAAGAGACAAGATGACTAATCTGCTAGTCATAGGCCACTGTGGAGTCATAAAAAATAGAGAAATGGATAAGCTGATTCATAGCTAGTGAAGGTCCCCATCTGGAAATATTTGAAAGATTTTCAGAATAAATGTTCAAATGCCTCTGATTTGGTTTATTTCTTAACATTTGGAAAGAACATATCCTGAATGAGAACCTGCAGGTAAGTACCTAGTAATAACATTCAGTATGGCTGCATCTATTTTTGCCAGATCACCTGGTAAAGTGAGTGAAACCTGTTATTGCCAAAGATCTGTTTTACCAAGAACTTGCAATAGCAGGAAGCATGGACAAGCTGTGAACCCTCTGTATGCTAAAATAACAGTGGCACAGTGTAATTAGTAATTTTTGCCTTGGTAACCTTGAGCAAGAAAAACTAATCAGCAATTTTAAGCAGGCTGGACAGGATGGGAGGAGAGTGAAGATTTTTTTTTTTAATTTTTTTTTTCAACGTTTATTTATTTTTGGGATAGAGAGAGACAGAGCATGAACGGGGGAGGGGCAGAGAGAGAGGGAGACACAGAATCGGAAACAGGCTCCAGGCTCTGAGCCATCAGCCCAGAGCCTGACGCGGGGCTCGAACTCATGGACCGCGAGATCGTGACCTGGCTGAAGTCGGACGCTTAACCGACTGCGCCACCCAGGCGCCCCAAGATTTTTTTTTTAAGATGGGACAGCTTGAAGGTAAAATAGTCCTATCCCAGAATATATGCAGAATACCATGCCAGTTGATATGTATTGCCTACCTACTCTGTGAAACTTGGTTCCAGTTCTCACAGCACTTACATTGGTCATGAACAGGAACAAGAGTAATTGCAAGGGCAGCTTTGAAAAATAACAAATAATAAAACTCTTAAGTTTAATACATTTACTGAGAGCTTGTATGTTGCAGGCACTGACTGTGCTAGGCATTAGGACACAAAGAAGAAAAAGACATGGCTCCACCCTCATATAATCATGTAAACTAATGCAGTCATATAAATCAGTCTGAGACATGCTATTCTAGATTTCCCGTCACAGTATGAGTTGGCTGTACATTGGTGTGTGAGCCAGATTTACCACACCCTGATTTAAAAAAAAAAAAAAATGAAGCTGACATTGCTTTTGACACAGAAAGCTCCTTTGTAAGGTGCTGGCAGTTGAGAAAAGGTGTGTCTCACACCTGATTCAGTTCTGAGACAGGGTGAGGAAGCTGGAAATGCTTTTCCAGGGAGCCTGTACTGATGAGGCAGCCATCAGTCATCAATCCAGAAGAAACAAAGAGTCTTTGATTTAGTGTCAGCTACAAGGTCATACTTGTTTATGCTTCTTCAACTTTGTCTACCCAGACTACCAGTTGGAGTTCATTGCCACTCATTCTTCACCAACAGCAAGCAGAAGCAGAAACTGCTGAGAGAGAAATGCTTGTGCAGAAGCAGAGGAGAAGAGAAGTTAGAAGAAAGTTCAATGGTTTTTGTTGTTGTTTTTTAAACTAAGAGATGACAAACCATATGCTCCATGTAGTTCCAAAAAAGCTTCAGAAACAGAGCTTCTAAGGTGGGAGTAAAGAACTGACCAGTTAATATTCCAATTAAACTAAATTATAAAGCACAAACTTCCTTTTTCATAAAATCTTTTTTTCTCATTTCCTGGTTTAAAAATGTTTTTTTTCAGGTTGCTGTCCACATTAATGAAGAACACGTTGAAACCCTTCACGAAGATCTCATTTTTACACTGGACACATTGGCTTCACCAAATTTACCCAAGATAGGTGATGACCTAAAGGTATGTTCATTTTCTCTATCTGATATTTTCTGCCAAAGCTGTTGTTCTATTTTTCATTACTTATTCTTTCTTTTTGGTATCTACAAAGATGATATGGCAGGTATGTAGGATATTTTGGCAGGAAATACTAATGTGGTTTATTTGAGGTCAGTGCATGGAAATACCTGGATATGACATACAGGGCAGAGCTGGGGGTATATTTCATGAAAAATACTGACTATAATAGCTCCTCCTCTTATCCGTGGGGATATGATCCGTGGGGATCCGTGGGTATGTTCCAAACCCCCTGTGGATGGCTGAAACTGCGAATAGTACTGAACACTTACATGTACTATGTTTTTTCCTATATATACATACCTATGATAAAGTTTAACTTATAAATTAGGCACAGTAAGAGATTAACAACAATAATAAAATAGAACAATTGTAACACTATATTGTAATAAAAGTTAGGTGAATGTGGTCTCTCTCAAAAATCTTACTGTACTGTACTCACCCTTCTTGTGATGATATCAGATGATAAAATAGCTATGTGATGAGATACAATGAGGTGAATGATACAGACTTTGTGAAGTAGCATGAGGTACTACTGACCTACTGAAGACAAGTTGGAAAGAGGATCACCTACTGCTGGATGCTGGGGTTGACCACAGGCAACTGAAACCATGGAAAGCGAAACCAGAGATGAAGGGGGAACTTCTGTACACTGAGATTAATGGAGAAAATGATGAGCCTACAATTCGACTTGGTCTCTCTTCTCTTTCTTTTTTTCTTTTTTCTTTTTAATTTTATTTTTCAAATTTACATCGAAATTAGTTAGCATCTAGTGCAACAATGATTTCAGGAGTAGATTCCTTAATGCCTGTTACCCATTTAGCCCATCCCCCCTCCAGCAACCCTCTGTTCTCCATATTTAAGAGTCTCTTATGTTTTGTCCCTCTCCCTGTTTTTGTATTATTTTTGCTTCCCTTCCCCTATGTTCATCTGTTCTGTGTCTTAAAGTCCTCATGAGTGAAGTCATATGATATTTGTCTTTCTCTGACTGACTAATTTCACTTAGCATAACACCCTCCAGTTCCATCCATGTAGTAGCAAATGGCAAGATTTAATTCTTTTTGATTGCCGAGTAATACTCCATTGTATATATATACCACATCTTCTTTATCCATTCATCCATCGATGGACATTTGGGCTCTTTAATACTTGGGCTATTGTTGATAGTGCTGCTATAAACATGGGGGTGCATGTGTCCCTTTGAAACAGCACACCTGTATCCCTTGGATAAATGTCTATTAGTGCAATTGCTGGGTTGTAGGGTAGTTCTATTTTTAGTTTTTTGAGGAACCTCCATACTGTTTTCCAGAGTGGCTGCACCAGCTTGCATTCCCACCAACAATGCAAAAGAGATCCTCTTTCTCCACATCCTCGCCAACATCTGTTGTTGCCCAAGTTGTTAATGTTAGCCACTCTAACAGGTGTAAGGTGGTATCTCATTGTGGTTTTGATTTGTATTTCCCTGATGATGAATGATGTTGAGCATTTTTTCATGTGTCGGTTGGCCATCTGGATGTCTTCTTTAGAGAAGTGTCTACTCATGTCTTTTGACCATTTCTTCACTGGATTATTTGTTTTTTGGGTGCTGAGTTTGATAAATTCTTTCTAGATTTTGGATACTAATCATTTATCTGATATGTTGTTTACAAATATCTTCTCCCATTCCGTCGGTTGCCTTTTAATTTTGCTGATTGTTTCCTTCACTGTGCAGAAGGTTTTTATTTTGATGAGGTCCCAGTAGTTCATTTTTGCTTTTGTTTCCCTTGCCTGCAGAGGTGTTTTGAATAAGAAGTTGCTGCGGCCAAGATCAAAGCGGTTTTTGCTTGTTTTCTCCTTGAGGATTTTGACAGCTTCGTGTCTTACATTTAGGTCTTTCATCCAATTTGAGTTCATTTTTGTGTATGGTGTAAGAAAGTGATACAGGTTCATTCTTCTGCATGTCCCTGTCCAGTTTTCCCAGCACACTTGCTGAAGAGACTGTCTTTATTCCATTGGACATATTTTCCTGCTTTGTCAAAGTTTAGCTGGCCATACATTTGTGGGTCAATTTCTGGGTTCTCTATTCTGTTCCATTGATCTGAGTGTCTGTTTTTGTGCCATCTCTTCTCTTTCTTGATGAGAGATCCAAGCAAAGGCAAATGTTATTGTTGCATAAGTCAAGAATATTTTTGCACAAGTGGAAGGCTAGAGAAATAGCCTTTCAGAAAAAATGATCTTGGGGCGCCTGGGTGGCTCAGTTGGTTGAGTGTCCAACTTCAGCTCAGGTCAAGATCTCACAGTTCATGAGTTTGAGCCCCTCATCGGGCTCTGTGCTGACAGCTCAGAGCCTGGAACCTGCTTCAGATTCTGTGTCTCCCTCTCTATCTGCTCCTCCTCTGCTTGCACTCTGTCTCTTTCTCAAAAATAAATAAACATTAAAAAAATTTAAAAATATTTAAAAAAAAGAAAAATGATCTTGTCCTAGGGAGGGGAGGAGATCTAACACTCTAATGAAGGTAGGAAGAGCACAAAAAGATAGTCATTGTCATGGAAAATCGTCACCAATAGAACACTTGAATTAGAAAGAGAGGGGCAGTTTTGGAAAGCTCATCCCACCTTTTAGAGATTTAGTTTCAGGAAACTAAAATAAATGTGCAAAGTAAGGACTCCCTGCATATTCAAAGGGTTTACCTTATATCTACCCATGTGCTTCTTGGCCCAATTTTAATTTTTGTATGTTTATAAAATTTGTTTTAAGGATAATTCACAATTGAAGATTTCCCCCCCATTTGCTGGGAATGGTTTTCTCACTAATTCATTTTAAGGTGGTCTTACTGGATTTGCTTATTCTTTACCTTCATCTTGGTGAACTGTATTTATTACATGATTCCGTGCATTAAATTAAATGCTGTTCAACCTTAGTGAGTATCTACAAAATTTTGGTTTCCCATGAAAATGAGATGTGGATTTAGAGTCTGACAACATCATCATAAAAAGAAAAATTCTGAAATATTCTGCTTTCCACTTGCTAACTGAGGCTGTAGATCTTTAGTTTTCTAACAAATTATGCAGGTACATTCATTTAGAATGGTGTGAATATCTTGATAAAAAGAAACAATAGGCCCAGTCCAAAACCTTTGGGATGCAGCAAAAGAGGTCTTAAGAGGGAAGTAGATAGCAATACAGACCTACCTCAAGAAGCAAGAAAAGTCTCAAATGTACAGCCTAACCTTACACCTAAAGACACTAGCAAAGAAATACCAAATAAAGCCTAAGGCCAGCAGAAGAAGGGAAATAATAAAGATTAGAGCAGAAATAAATGATATAGAACAAAAAACCCGGTAGAACACATCAGTGAAACTGGGAGCTGATTCTTTGAAATAATTAATAAATTTGAAAAGCCCTAGGCAGCCTTATCAAAAAGAAAAGAGGGGCGCCTGGGTGGCTCAGTCGGTTAAGCAGCTGACTTTGGTTCAGGTCATAAATTTACAGTTTGTGAGTTCGAGCCATGCATCAGGCTGTGTGCTGACAGCTCAGAGCCTGGAGCTTGCTTCGGGTTCTGTGTCTTCCTCTCTCTGCCCCTCCCACACTTGTGCTCTGTCTCTCTTTCTCTCTCCAAAATATATAAACACTGAAAAATTAAAAAAAAAAAAAGAAAGGACACAAATAAAATCACAAATGAAAGAGGAGAGATCACAACCAACACCACAGAGATACAAACAAATTATAAGAGAATATTATAAAAAATTATATGCCAGCAAATGGGGCAATCTGGGAAAAATGGATACATTCCCAGAAACATATAAGCTACCAAAACTGAAACAGGAAGAAATAGAAAATATGAACAGACTCATAACCAGCAAAGAAATTGAACCAGTAATCAAAAATCTTCCAACAAACAAAATTCCTGGGCCAGAGAGCTTCCCAGGGGAATTCTACCAAGCATTTAAAGAAAAGTTGATACCCATACCAGGGAACCTGGGTGGCTCAGTCAGCTAAGTGTCCCATTGGGATCTCAGCTCAGGTCTTGATCTCAGGGTCATGAGTTCAAGCTCCACACTGCGCTCTGTGTTGGGCATGAAGCCTACAAGGAAGGAAGGGAGGGAGGATGGAAGGAAGGAAGAGAGAGAGAGAGAGAGAGTTAATGTGTATTTTTTTGAACTATTCCAAAAAAATTGAAATGGAAGGAAAACTTCCAAACTCATTCTATGAGGCCAGCATTACCTTGATTCCAAAACCAGACAAAGACCCTACTAAAAAGGACAATTACAGGCCAATATCCCTGATGAACTTGGATGCAAAAATTCTCAACAAGATACTAGCAAATCTAATTCAACAGTACATTAAAATAATCATTCAGCATTATCAAGTGGGATTTATTCCTGGGCTGCAGGGCTGATTTAATATTTGCAAATCAATCAACGTGATACACCACATTAATAAAAGAAAAAATAAGAACCATATGATCCTGTCCATAGATGCAAAAAAGCATTTGACAAAATACAGCATCCATTCTTGATTAAAAATCTCAACAAATTAGGGACAGATGGAACATACCTTAACATCATAATGGCCATATACGAAAGACCCACAGTTAATATCATCCTCAATGGGAAAAAACAGAGCTTTTCCTCGACAGTCATGAATAAGACAGGGATGTCCATTGTCACCATTGTTATTTAACATAGTACTGGAATTCCTAGCCTCAGCAATCAGATAACAAAAAGAAATAGAAGGCATCCAGATCAGCAAGGAAAAAGTCAAACTTTCCCTATTTGCAGACAACATGATACTCTATGTAGAAAACCTGAAAGACTTCACCAAAAAATTGCTAAAACTGATACACAAATTCAACAACATTGCAGGACACAAAATCAATGTACAGAAATCTGTTGCATTTCTATACACCAATAATGAAGCAACAGAAAGAGAAATCAAGGAATTGATCCCATATAGAATTGCACCAA